TACATACATATACATACATGCACACACATACACAAACATATATATATAAATACATAGCGCATCACATAAACGTGCACAAAGGTACATTTAGAGATAAACATAATAGTCATACAATTAAAATGTCATGCCCGATGTTATAGGACCGAGATGGAGCCGACATAAGTGACAACATGTTACACAACGGTGTTCAAGTTTTGAAACCTTTCTTATGTCTACATTTAGAGAATACCTCATTCCGAAGATTCAGCAGCTCATCTCTATTTTTATCTTTGATAATGAAGATTTTTTCCGCCATGCATAGATCACACCGATCGCGGAAGTTATTAGGTGTTCTGGCTCTAGATAGGAATCTCCATTTCAAAATTGGGTTTAATCCCGTATCCACCAGTTCCCAGTAGTGTTTGGAGACACGGGGATTTGTAGATATCTAATTCAGCTTTTTTATATGGTGTAACATCAGTACTTATCTGTTACAAGTATTGCCAATCGTATAAACCTTCCTGGAGCTGAGACACAAAGTTAAACATGCTCTGTTTGCTATCAGCGGTTGGAGCCTTTCTGGTCTTGATTAGTATGTCATTGCCATACAAACAAAATTGGACGAGTGATTAATGTAAACAATACGTGGCGCCAGTGTGTGAGGGACGCATGGTCAATGTGTTTTTATGAGAACGACTTTTTTTTCTTATATATATATATATATATATATATATATATATATTCTATGTTCTACTAGCGAAGTGATTTCGCCATTATCGCATTAATATTGCTGATTGATTCTATGTATGATTATTTCTTTATATATAAAATATATGCTGCCTGATGTTATATGTTTATAAAAAACAATTGATCTCACAGTATGAAATTCCTGAGAAAAAAAACTACTAAGGCACATCATTCTGTCAATTGAACTATATACTTATTTCATGTCATGTTAACTGAAAAACACTTCTAAAAATAGAATTCGTGGATTTACCATATTACAAAATTCATATAAAAATTCTC